ATTTTATATAAAGCGAATTATAGCTTAAACTTTAGGGTTTATTAAAAACAGAAATTATATTTGGGATTATCGAATAAGATGCAGCGTTTATATTTCTTAGAAATTCCATTTTATTTTTTAATGACGCTAACTTTTAGTATAAAACCTTTATATTTATTTTATAAATTAAGAAGTATATTTATATATATATTTATATATATATATATATATATATATATTTATATGCATGTGACTTTAATTTGGCGCTGATATTCAAATAGTCGTTTATTTATTTAATATATCTTTAACATGCGCTCGTCGCTGCTTGTTTTCATTCGCAGTCGCTGCATGTCTTAATGAACAAAGTAAAAAGATCGACTGTTGGAGAGTCTGCTAGTGGCACACGTGCAAGCGAGCGAGAGAGAGAGAGAGAGAGAGAGGGAGAGCTTCTGCGCAAGAAAGAGAGAGAGAGAAAGAGAGAGAGTGATCGCAAGCGAGAGTAAGAGAGAGAGAGGGAGACGTGGACGGTTAATATTTATTTCTATTTTATTAGCGTAAGATTTTGCATTAAGGAGCGTAAAAGTTCTCCCATATCTATAGAGACGGTCGCTGCTTCCCATGAAATCTAAATGATTCGCATGGGGCTCTTTGTCAGTTGTCGACTGCCACCGGTTGAGCATCTGATTTGAGATAAGCAAAATTTTTATTTTCTTATTCATTAAATCTCATCGTCTCGCTGAGGTAGGTCGCCGGAAAGTCGTTCGTTACACGCAGTTGTTATTTCGTCGCATCAGCGAACTGAGTGGTAAATAAAATCATAAACTATAGAAATAATAATACTAATACTATAGATACTACTTTATAGTCTTTGATGAGAGTGATTTTTGTGAAAATTAACTAGAAGTTATATGTGCGAGAGCATTGGTAGAACAAAGAATAAACTCATAATAATACAAGCTTGTGTAACTCTGCTAATGTGAAGGGTTTCCCAGACATTGAGTGATTTCCCATGTTAAATAATAAATTAAATAAAAAATGTATATAAAAAAATAATCAATTAAAAATTGCTAACAAGTCTTACAGCTCTCATAGTTTGCTATTAAAATTGTTTTAAATATCATTAAATGCATAAAAAGCAACATGAAATGATTAAAATGTAGTTAAGTATATACATAATATTGATCATAATAATTTATGCATTTACCCAATTATCAATATGGGCTATTGTTACCTGTTATTCGTAAAGGGAAAGAAAAAGAAATTTCCATAATTGTAAATTACACAATTTGTGTAAACGATTAACGGGTAATCAATTTAATATTTCAATTACTTTTTGTCTCCGTTCTGTTGCACTCAGATGGCTCTAATTGGAATAATCAACACACCTTGGGACAATCAGTATCCAATATTATTTTTTGGCAGGTGATCCATTATTGACACGTGATCGTGCAATAAAAGAAAAAAATTGGCGCTAATTAACACCAAATATTTACACACAATTAACATGTGGCTGCCTGGTGACAAATTGCGAGCAATTTTATTTTGCCAAAACATACTGGGGAGCAAACAAAAAAAAAAAAGAAGAAAAGAAAAACCGGTCTGATTAAATCAAGCGGGAATTACACAAAGTAAGCTGCAGTTCACTAATTCTGCGAAATGTGAAAAATATTCTTGAAATGCAAATGCAAGTTAAATCTAATTGTATATTTGCCTTGAGCTAATGAAAATGAATACTTAGTGGCAGCTATCCGCCTAGAATAGACAATAACTGGCAATATTTCTCTCTATATATATATATATATATACATGATTGCCACCACAAAAGGTGGCAAGTTGTCGTTGCCAGCAATAATGCCAATTATGGGTACGTCGACAACATCGCAGACAGGTGGGCAATTTTAGCACTTTAGCCAAAATCAGACCGAGGACAACATCCTGTCGTTTTTGGTCCTGGTTGTCTTGTCAACTTTTCTGGCGCCATCTCAGTTGTTGCCACTCTCCGGCGCAATCAGCGATTGTCAATCTTTTGTGGCAATGCTTGGCTTGTCATCGGCAGCGCTATCGTTGCGACAACACGACTTGCAACGTTTCTGAGTCCTGTGTGTGTGTGTGTCTTGAGCATAACGGCTGTTGCGGCTGCATTTTACAATTTAAATGTAATAGTTGCCAGGCGAAGGGAGTTTTGTGAAGGAATCTGGGAAGCAGGTTGCAGAGCTGACGTTTCCTTTGACATTGTGCAGGTGTCGATGCTTTTGCCACTTGAGTTATGCATGAGCTGCACAGCAGTAAGCAAAGTGGCATAAATGCTGCTTCTGACAACGACTCCGCACGTATGCATATATATATATATATATAGCCAAGTGGCAAGTGGCAACAAGAACACAGTAACAATGAGGCTACATAATTGAGATTCCCATCGGCAATTGCGGCAAACATTCATCCATACACTGGGAGATATAAAATAGAGAGCGTTAATCTTGAACCAGATTACCAAATTTTATTACAAAAACCTTTTTTTTGTTATCATGAAAACCCCTAACATAAGTAATTACAAGGGCGTATATCGCAGGGGGATCTCAACTTTAAATTAAATTAGATTAAATTTTTTTAAGAAAATTATAAAATATATTCTTAAAAATATATTCATAAATATATCCAAATTTTCCAGTTGAAAGAAATTTAGTTCTAATTCAAAGTGCTCAAGTTTTTTTAAGTAAAGAATTTAAATAATTTATTTAAAAATATTTTATTTACATTTCCTTTGATCGTGAAATGTAAGCTGACTTTTGCTTAAATAAGCATATTTAAATATGTCTTTCGCTGTTTTTTTATTTTTATTTTTTAAACCCACAACGGGATACGAAAATAAAATTCACTTGATTTCTAGCCATCGGCAGTGAAATACATAATGCAATTATAAAAATAGGTCAGCAATAAATCAGCAATTAAATAACAATGTTCAATATTAAATTCTCTTAGAACTAAATTTAGCCTATACTCGAATTTAGCTCATGGCTTTTCGCGCAGTGTAAATACGTGCCCACAAAGGTGGCATCCAGACACATTTAAAACATTTAAACCTGTCGACTACTTGCAGCAGGCACGCAGCTGCAGCACCAAAAAGTGCAGCTAAACAGCAACAACAACAACAAATCGGGAGAGGCAACAACAACAACGGCGATGAGTGAGAATAAGTTGACACTATGCGGCAACAGTGCTAATGCTAATCCAACAGGGCCAACACACACTAAAGTAGACATACAGGATATCTCCGAGGACTGCAATATTGGGTCGTCTGGAGTCAACGGCGGGAATGTGGGCGAGACAGGCCAACAACAAAATGCAACAACTGCAATCATTTTAACGCCGACATCATTAAATTCAACAAACACACCGCCAAATACTCCCGCTGCCGGTGTCCCCTCCAACAACACCAACAACAGCAACAGCAACAACAACAGCAACAACAGCAACAAAGACAGTGGCAACAATGGAAAGGGTTATCCAGCGCATTGCGAGCACTACAAAGGACCAAAATGGTAAGTGAAATGCATATAAGGGGCCAGGGGCGGGTCCCAAACATTTTTGCCTGGCCAGCGAAACTCGTGTATCTGTGTGTGTGTGTCAGTGTGTGTGTATCTGTGTGTGTGTGTGTGTGTGTGTGTCTGTGTGTGTGTGTGTGTGTGTGTGCGTCTGTGTTTGTATGCGCATTTGCTTAACCCTTTTGAATGCATATCCGGCACAGACAAAGCAGACCTCCACATTCACATTCACATCAACATTCACATTCACATCCAAATCCACATTCACACTTGGATTGCACGCGTTTTTCGCATATCTTTTTGTTGCTGAGCTGAGTTTGTTGTTTATATTTTTTTATTTATTTTTTGTTCTACATTGCATTTTTCGCATTGTATTTTCTATTGTATGTGTGTTAGTGTGTATGTGTGTGTGTGTGTGTGTGTGTGTGTGTGTGCTTACAATGTTGCCATTGTCGCCAGTGTCAGTGTCGTCACGGCCACTGTCGACAGCAGGAAGCACAGTCTGCGCCAGTGTCTGGGGCCAAAATTAAGTGGTTCCCCCTGATGCACTGCCTGCCTGCATAGCTTTATTGTGGTGGCACCTTCTTCCAAGCTGCGCGAGCGTTGAGTGTGATTGTTGTACCTGGCAATATTTATTATTATTGGTTGGATCTATTGTGTTTCTCTCGATATGCAGGTATGCAATGATATGCTCCAGTTTCAATCTCCTCATTTCTTTAGAGTTCACATTGTACATGTCTATCTGAGACAGTCTCCGTCTGCTAATGGCTAAAAATATATTTTGCTGTCTGCTTTGATTTGCTAACAAGCCTCTAATTAAAGGTTTCGATATTGTTCACACAAACTTCTGACAAATCAAAATGTTGGAAACGTTCTGTAAAATAAATAAGTAAATTTGTTTGAGATTTATTTTTATAGATTCAAAGATTCATAGATTACTAAAATGAAATCCGTATTTCTTCAGTTTGTAATAAAATACACAGTTTTAATTTCACGTTGTGTTTTTTTTTGCGGACAATGTCCGAGTTCAAAGAAAACACTCTAACGGCTACAAAGATAGGCTTTCCTTCTGGCCAAATCTTCGGCAACCCTTATGGCTTTATTATTATTATCAGAGGCTTCAAGCACTGAAATCTAGTTAGATCTGTTTCGCACCTTTTGAGTCTGTACATTTCCATCAACTCTAATACCTAGACTCCTCCAGCTTTCATGCCTTCCGAGCTGGAAACATTCATTATAATAGCATATATTTTAAAGTTATAAATGGTTCTTGCTAAACTCTATATTCAACAGTATTTTAAAGCTACATTTGACTGCTGCCTCCTCTGAAGTTATTGCGTTAACAATTGCTGGACAATAGTATCTGTCTGTATCGATGCCCCCTTAAAATCCATTTATTAGCATAAGAGATGTGTTTAGATGTGGATATAACAATGATTGAAGTTTAGTAAACAGTTGACTAGAAGTACTGCATTTCGTTTATTTGGACAGATTGATAAGCAAAGCAAAGAAGCTGTAGGCATTATTGATGGTCTGTTGACAAGAAAATAAATTATAATCTTCCGGTTGTTGCCGCTTATTATTTGATAACCCTACCTTCATGAATATGGGTAATCCGATTTCAAAAAATCCACCAGCTCTCAATTTAACAGGCCGCTTGAGGAACTCCATATAGCAGTTGAGCACCTTGCGCGTAGATACGGAATACATCAACCAATTGGTGTTGAATACACTATTTGTGAGTCGGTTCGCTTCCAGTGTGACCTCGTTGCCGCAATAGCAGGGCAGAAATATCTGAAGTATCATCACGGCCACAAACTGAGCGATGGTGATTAACGGACCCGGATTACCCTGAAAGCCAATCTGCACAAGGCGATACCCACTGAAGCAGATGATTAACGCGCTGAGCACCACCTGGGCGAGGACATAGGGCGACACGAGGACCTCGCACTGCTTTGTCAGGCTGCGAATATGCCTGTGTAGTTGAAAGATGCAGCGTAATTCCGGCACTGCCACATTCTCCGGCATATCGCGCAAGGCAACTAAACGACGACCTAACAATTTGTAGAGTACAGCGATTTGATACATGAAATAGCAGCCCATCGTGTCCAGCAGGCAATTCGAAAGGTAACACAATGTCATCGCCAGGATATTGTAGCCATACGCATAGAAGTAACGCTCCCGTCTCCGCCACTCGAACGGCACATAAAATCCGAACGGTAGCTCGTATGTATCCTGGAAGAGAACACCCGAATATCCGGTTACAGCAACAGCCGTACAACCTCCAATATACGTGTAGAATATGCGCTTAAAATTTCGCTGCTCTCGCTGCCAAAACTGAATATCTTCGGATTTTGGCAAATTACACTTGGCATAGCTATCGAGAGCATTCATAAAGTTGAGCGCCTGTTCGCCCCTATACCAAATGTTGATGAGTTTCACGACCAATGCCAACTCTGTCAGTGACATGTACAAAACATTCGCAGCCTGTTCCAAGTCATCGGAGACAATAACTTCCAGCCACATAAGTGCTATATACGTGAAGGTCAATGGCAGATGCAATACGAATGGGTAAATACTCTTCAATTGCCGCCAGTTGCCATCGCTCCACCGCCAAATGCCCAGCCAGCGTTGGATCTGAAGGAGAGCTCCTATTCCGGATATGAGGTCCTTTGATTCTGTCTCTGTCATCTTAAGTCGAACTATCAAAACTCAGTTATAGGCTCGCTGTCAAAATTGGAGCTGCTTTTATAGACTTTCCTCTGACCGAATCTCATAAAAATTTTATAATTCCTATCTACTACGTATATATATATATATATATATATATATATAAACATATATATGTATATATGTATATATGTTTATGTATATGTGTAGAAGCTAACTTCGAACCCTTCACCTTTTCCCAAGTTCTACATTTTCTAGTTCCTGGTTCCTAGTTCTACGGTTGAAGCACTTCCTCTTTGGAGTGTTTTTCCATTGCTTTTTATTGTTACGCTACCAAAGAACTAGTTCATTTCGTTCGTGATTTGTATAGATGTAGCCCAGCCCTGTTCTCCTTTTATTTTTTTTTTGTACCTAATTGTTGCACATATTTACAAATTTAAAACCAACGCAATTACAATAATTAAACCGATGACATAATAATTGCGATAATTTGTTGTCATTCGTTTATTGAACAAGTCACGCAAGTGGCTATCCGAAACATTTCAAATATGTTGGCTCTGAATTCCATTCAGTTTATGGCTAACTCTTGCAGGGATATCAACTGTCAACAGTTGAAAATCTGTTTGAGATTTGAATTCAGATTTCATTTTCTCATTTTGCCCTTGGCATTTTTCAGAAAGTTGAAGCCCCATCTAAGAACTATGCTGAAGTTCGACAAACTTGTAATTTAATAAAATCGAACAATTTTACATTCGATATAACAATAAAAGATTGAGATTCCATAATTTGTTATATTTATTTGTAAGTATTTGAGAGCCCTTACGGATTTGATTTGTGAATTCTACCAGTATTTATTTATTTATTTACAAATGTGTGCTTCAATTTATAAACAAACAGTGGTTTTCTACTCTAGTAGTATTTATTATTATTGAAAAGTGCTTAAAACTTGAGCATTAACAAGAAAACAACTTAGTCTAGTAAATGTTAAGAATATTTCTAAGCGTTCATTTGGAGAAATTCAGCAAAAGGGCGAAAAAGCTATAAGCATTATTGATGGTCTGCAAAAACAATAAAACGATTATTGAAATAAGTATTAATCTTTCCAAAAATGACAAATCTTAGCGAACCTTCACAAAGATGGGCAGGCCAACTTCAAAGAAATAACCTGCACGAATTTTCACTGGACGCTTTAGGTGCTCCATGTAAGCAATGAGTAAATTGCACGTTCTTTTCTCGCACTGCATCCAGTTGGTGTTGTAGACCTTGTTGGTCAGCTGATGGGCATAGAAAGTGACCTCATTTCCATAGTAGCAGGGCAAAAATATTTGCAGAACCATCACACTGAGAAACTGCAGCATTGATATAAATTGGCCCGGATTGGCCATGATGCCAACATGCTGCAGCCGATAGCCGCTAAAGCAGATAATAAACGCACTCAAAATGATTTGCGAAAGGATATATGGCGAAACGATCGCCTGGCACTCGATAGTTAATCTGCAAAGAAAATGTACTTTAATTACTATACGACATCCAAGTTGATTTTTAGACCTGCGTGTGCGATCATGCAGCTTGAAGATGCAACGCAGCTCCTGATTAAATGTCATCTCGTCATGCACTGCACTCAACGCCTTTAGTCGCGTGCCCAGCAAGCGATACAGCAAGGAGACATGGAACAAAAAGTAGCAGCCAATACAGTCAAGGGATACATTCGCGATGCAGGTCAAAGTCATTGCGATCATATTGTAGCCAAAGGCATAATAATAGCCATGCTCGTTTTGCCACTCGAATGGCACAAAGTAGGGAAATGGCAGCACATATTCCTCGAGGAACAACACTCCCACGCAACTGCTGTAGACAACGCCTAAACTAACAAGTTGATACACATTATATAGCCACTTGAAGTAACGCTGTTCCCGCTGCCAATAGTTGTCCTCTTCCTCTGATCGCAACTCATATTCGGGCGAGTCCTGCAAATGCAGCATTAATTGCCTGGCATTTGTGCTGCGATTCCAGATATTCAGTATTTTTATAATCAACGCCATTTCGGTGATGGACATATAGAGTACCTTTATGTAAGATAGATTACAACTTTAATATTATATCGATAATATAAAATCGAAGAAAATTGATCACCTGACCAGCCTCCTCCAAATTGTTTGATTCCAATGCCTCCAGCCACATTAGTCCAATGAAGGTAAATGTTATTGGCAAGTGCAAGAAATAGCGAAAGTTTCTCTTGAGAAACACCAAAAGATACGAATCACTTTTGTTTCTTATTGGCCATGGCCACAATCCACAGACTTGCATAACACTCAGGATAAAATTGATGCCTTGTGTGCGTTGCGATTGGGTTTCCATTATGTTTGATTCTAGTCTTGGTTTGGACTGTGCAATGTGTTTTTATAGAGTCCTTTGTGGTAACCTGAGGCAATTAGCGGCAATTAGATGTTCATAAATTAATCAGCACGGCAGCACGGAGGGACAATTTACGCTTATTGTTGTCTAGACAAAGATTCAAACAGTTTGTTCAAATGTGTTTTTGTTGATTTGAATACTTGAAGGTGGCGTCACTTGGTACTCCATTGGTCTCTTCTGTCCGAGCATGTTGCACTGCTGATGATATTTCTGGGACTTTGGACATTGGCATTGGCATTACTGCCGGAATATGCGACACCAGATACGGTCATCATGCGGATTGTATTGCTGTTTGTCGGTGCACAAATCTCGGGCATATTGGTTGGCTTTATCCATCTGCCCGATATGCTGGGCATGCTCTTTTTTGGCGTCATCTACACAAATGCTGGCTTTGCCAATTTCGCTGGCTATGAGCGATTTGAACTATTTTTAAGGTACGTTTTCATATATATTTGAAATATTTTCGTAAATATTAAGTTGAACTTTTGGCTATCTGCAGAGAAATGGCTTTAATCAATATTATGCTGTTGGCTGGCCTGGGACTCGATGGCAGCGCATTTAGGCGCTTATGGTTTATGATTATGCGTCTGACGCTGGTGCCAACCATCGTTGAGGTGGCCGTAATCGCTGTCTTGGCCTATTTCACATTGTCGATGCCCTGGCTGTGGGGCATTGCGCTGGGGTAAGTATTGAATGAGTTAGTGTGCCGATTATGTAAATTAATCACATCGTTTGTTTTGTCACACTAAGTCTGGTCATTACAGCCGTCTCGCCCAATGTGGTTGTCACCGTAATGCTAAAGCTGAAAGAGGATCGTTTGGGTCTAAATAGCGGCATACACACACTTATATATGCGATGACCACGTGCAATGATGTCGTTGCCATCTTCATGTTTGGCGTCATAATCAGCATCATTTTCTCCACAAGTACGTGCCGTCCCTCAAACCAGACAACATTCACACATTTCTCTCTCTCTTTATATATATATATATTTATATTCACTTGCTTACACATTCTATCTCATTCAGGCTCGTTGACACAAAAATTATTGCAAGGACCCATTGGCATTGGTATTGGACTTGTTTTTGGCTATCTATATGGCATGCTGTTGCACTATTTGCCGTCGCGTAATGCGGTAAGCATTGAATAGACACCACATAATTGTTGGCGACGCCACGTACATCTCAGAATTGCAGAACAGCTCGAGCGTTGTTGTACACCCAACAAAATGGGGGGCGTTCTGTTGAACGGAAATCATGGTTGAACAATTTCTAAAAGTTCTAATCACAGCTAAAGCAACCCATAGAATTAGTAATATTTGTGTAGAATTGATACGTTTACTATATTTTTAAGTGTAACCAGTTTTTCTGGTAGATATAGTATGTTTGGAGGAGTTTTGAGTACAGTTTTGATTTGCTGTAGTTTTTAACGATTTTTATTTGAATGGAAGTTGAACCTCCTCAAATACGAAATTCAACTAAAATTATTTGTATACCTTAATCCCATTAAAAATGGGTAAAAAAGGGTTTATTATCTATATATAAATGTTATAAGTTTTGCAGAAGGAAACATCTGAAAGCCCATAAGGTATATGTATTCTGAATCAGATCTCAGAGACTAGAAGAGCTACAAATTTTAAATTTTGAATATAATCTCTCATCAAGATTTGATTTCATCGATAATTGCTTCCGTGCTGCTTAGCGTTGAAATTACAATGTGAAACTAATAATTTCTATGCTATATTTATCATAATTTATCATAACAATAGATAAACAGCAACCTAAAATGTATGCAATAGAGTCGACTTTTGTTTTGAGTGTGATTGAGCATACTTTCGAGCGCAGCAGACTAAAAATGCTCATTCAGTAAACACTTGCGCACTCAATCAGGGCATTTAATGGCGCAAAACGCGAGAGCCCGACACTTCAATATCATCGGATAGTGTAAGGCTTCAAAAGCTATCATATATGCGACAGACTCTGCCACTATCTACCCATGTGTGTGAGTGTGCGACTGTGTGTGTGTGTGTGCCTGGGCGCATTTTGCATAAAAACACACTTACACACATACCTCGAAAGCGATGACATCGACTTTGGCACTGGAGCTGGCGACATTTGCGACGACAGTTATTGCCGCCGTCCATGGAAACTTATGGCAACTGGGTTGCAAGGATGCTGTGATGCAAGCAGCAGGAGCAGCGGCAACTTCAGCTACGTTGCAAACCACAAAACTCATTGCCGCAACTTACACCGCTAATGGTGCGCATAATCAAACGCCATGGGTGGCGTTGAACTGAATGCCTTTGAACTCTTGTTTCTACTCTCTCTGACACACTCACACACACAAACAGGCACACACAGGCACACACACACACACACACACACATGCTCAAGTACTATGCATGCAGCACTCATAACTTTTGTTTTCCTCTTGCAACTTCCACGGGCGCAAAACTGCAGTATGTACGAAAATTTCATGCTGTGCTCCGTTCAAGACGTGCCACTTCCTTTCATCCTTGCAACCCCGCATCCCAGCATATATTTGTACAGCAACCAATGCTGTGCATTGTGTGTGTGTGTGTTTTTTTTTTGCTCGCCATTGCCACTACTGCCTTTATTTTATTATAATAATTATAGTGCGATCTTAAATTATGATTTTTTAGTCACGCATAGAATGTGCAATTATGTTGTGTTTTTTAAAGCAAACAATTTTAACGTAAATTTCGTATAAATAATTAATTAACTGGCGTTGCATAAAGTTTGCATTATATGTTACTCTAGATACGGTTGAAGAGTTTTCGCTGGCTGTGCCAAAAATTTGAGCTGTGACCTACAAAACCATAGCGAAAAACTATGCAATTTTCTCTCTCTTCTTATGCAGTTCGCAAGCTTAAAACATGTTGAGCAAAAGAAATCGAATAAAGCAATTTGCAAAGAGCAATGCTGTCATTTTCATATTTAGATATTTTATTTTTACTTAAATAACAGCATTCTTAACAAAGCTGCCAACTTATTTTGTATATTTTGTAATTTTTTCTTTCGTTTCTTTGCCATCGTTTGCAGGTCTATGCAAATGGCTTGCGCTTTGTTTTGACCATCTTGGGCGGCACCATTGCTGTGATGGGCAGCCGAATTATTGGATATACTTCAGCGGGTGCCTTGGGTTGTGTCATGATGGCCTTCATTGCTGGCATCGGCTGGAAGAGGGAGGAGCTAAGAATGTCACCACAGCAATTGGAAGAACATCAAATAGTAAGTGTCATTGCTGCTGGCTAATTTGAATTTCTATCTTTAAGTTTAGATAACAAAACATGTATGAAAAATTAAGTAACTCAAATTTGAGACATATTCACTTAGATTAAAAAACGCTTGAATTTTAAAAATAGTCAATAACAATTTATGCAAATTTCTTGCATATGATTTTTTTCATTTAATGTTCCTCAAAATTATAAGTATTTTTAAAAAGTACAAAATATTTAAAGCCATTTTTATATATATATTTACATATATTTTTCTAAATATGTACTTTTAATATTTAACAATTAACTATTTATATTTGATTAAATGGTAAATTTATAAAATAGATGATAATGTATAACTTATGCCTTACTTATAGCTTATTTTCATTTCTTATATACGTTATAGGCAAGTGTACCCAAGCGTCTTGATCTGCTGTGGAAGTTTTTGAAGCCAGTCTCCTTTGCGCTCATTGGCAAGGAAATCAATTTCGCCGTGCTTGACGGACGAGTAGTCGCCTATGGGACATTGCTGGTGCTGCTCGGAAGTTTGGTAATTAAAATGACCGACATTTTATTGCGGCTTGGCTGTCCGAGCTGGAGTTTAAGCATCCAATTTGCAGCAGAAAGGCCCAAAAAATTAAAATGTTCCTTTGCCGCAATTCAAATGTTACCTGCAGACAAATGCAACAACTGCAAAAAACCAAAAACCAAAAAAAAAAAAAAAAATCCAAACTGTTTTCTCTAATTTTTTGCTTTTACTTTGTTTGCAGCTCCGCTTGGCTTTTGCATATTTATCCACATATGGTGGAAATCTGTCCAGAAAGGAACGTGCCTACATTACAATTTCCGGTTTTCCCAAGGCAACGGTCCAAGTAAGTTTTACCATTTCGCATTCTATCATGTCCATGTGGTGCACCGGTCCAAAGAATGGGGGCAACTTTTTATTTGCCGTTTGGTTTCGTTTCTGGACATTGGCCCAAACTGGATTTTGGCCAGCATTTGTTTGGGTTATGTTGTTTTCCTCAAACGCCAAAGTTATACTTGTATTTGCGGATCATGTTGTCGTGGCTAAACTCTTTTGTTGCTTCTCCTCCGCTTCTCGACAATTGTCTGCAGTTGAGCCGCAAGTGGACATTTTGTTCTACTCGCAACAGTGTGTGTGACAGTGTGTGTGCTTGTGTGTGTGTGTGTGTGTGTCTTTGTGTGTGTCTTGTGGCATACGCGCTTGTGTTGCGCTACACGTCTGCGGTTAGCCGGAAATTTAAATGTTACATTTGCTAACTTGGCCAACTGCTGCTTCTGTTGGCGGTTTTATACATGCTTCTTATTGTAAATTACTTTGCATTTTTCGGACAGTTGTCCTTGCTAAAAAAAAATTGTTCTCCTAATATGCGGTCTGCATTACGCTTTTTGTGCATTTCTAACTGTCCACCTTTTTTCTTCGTCCGCGTTTTTTTTGTGATTTAATTAAAAAATTTTAATAACATCGTTTACATCCAGCACATCAAGTATACGCAGCCTAACCAAAACTGTGCCATATTGTTTTTTTTTTTGGTTTACAGGCTGCCTTGGGTCCAGTTGCGTTGGATTTGGCACGTTCTGCGAGTATTGCGAGTGAATTAGCATTGGCGAACAACGTGCTCATAATTTCAGTTCTGGCCATTATTTTCACAGCGCCATTGGGTGCCATTTTGATGCTACGTCTTGCGCCATTCTGGCTCAAACATGGCGATACTGTGGACACAGCTGAAACGCCTGTGACGCCAGGACCACCGGGATCAGGTCCTGTGAATGATGTCGGTGAACTAACTTTAGTGAATGCTCAAAAAATGTGAAATGAAATTGTGGAAGAGCAGTGAATCGTTCTAGTGGAATACATACTATTCGACTTAATGCCAATGGTATTGCCAAATTTGATTAAGGCATTGGATTTTGGGATCAGCATTTGAATCATTTATAGTATAGCCTAATTCCAACTATGTTTTATATTTACTTACTAACACATGAACTGTACTTATTAACTACAAATGTACTTATTTGCATTTTCAATACACAAATTCAGTTTAATGAACAAAAATATGTCAAAATCATTTTCAATTTATTTCTTTTCGAAATTAGCTTTTTGTTGTGCACAGAATGTCTCAGCTAAGAAGTTATAAAAGTTGTTTAAATTGCTAAAGCCAGCACTAATCCCAAAATACTTAAAGCACTCCTAATAAACACAGTATTGACAACAAACAAAAAGAAACGAAAGAAAAACTTATGCAGAATTCACAATCGGACTGTAATTTAATGGCTTTGAATTTTCGGCACCTAATTATGAAGAGATTTGTGTTAATCTCGGACCTGGATTGTCGTAATTGGTTTTTCAATTAATTTAAAGGGATTTAGATCCTTTGCCCTGTCAACGAATTCAGTGGTGTGTATTATTGTTCAGGCAGGCTGCTTTGTGTCAACATTAATAGTGAATAAATATGTTTTTTGTTCATGTGGATTTGGGCAGCAAGCAAAGACCGTATTTGTGGACTCATTATTAAACTGATTTCGTGCACAAAAACAAGAGAGAACGTGCTGATTATCAGGTGACGGTGATTAAATACTCTGCTTAATTATAATGTTTTGATCAAAGACTCAATATTCGGTGATTATTATTAAGTAATTGCCAAAATGTTAAATGCAGCTCAAAATCTCCTTTCAAATTTAAGCGTTTTTCAATTTATATATATATATATATATAACTATATATAAATATATTTTTTTAGACTGAAAGAAAATAAATAATAGTAAGAAATGTTTTCTTAAGGAAAAAGTCGTTCCAAAACTGAACACTTTTACTATTGAATGCTTCACAACAGCTTTTTCAGGACTAAATTAATCAATGATGGTAATAAAAAAGATTTCAATTAAAATATTTTTCGCAAAAAGAGGCATTTTTAATTGAAATCAGTCTTTGCTGATGCGTCCTGCTCCTTGATTGCCAATATTGTGCTGAAAATTGAGGCTTCAGAGAAAAGGCACCTGTATTGTTTCTGTCATTGTTAATTCTACTTGCATGATGACCGACTATGGTGAACTCCAATTGAGGCTAGCGGGTAAAACACATTTGAATTTCTAGAGCCACAAAGCGGAGTTAGCAGAGTGAGTAAATGAAAAGTAAGTAAGAAATTCATCAGTGCATAATATTTTTTTGTTACTCACCTTTATTGCTTGCTCAGTTGCCTCTTCTTATACCCTTGCAGTTGGCATTGGCATTGCAAATCATATAAAGGATGCATATTGGATCTCTGTTAGCCACAATGAATGTTAGAATAATTTAGAACAATCGGTGGAAAAATGATTTATTAAATGAACAACTTAATTACTTACTAAAATATATAAATTAAAGAATGATCAACTTGTGTTTAGTATAGCTTATGGCTAATTATTAATAATATTCCGATCTTCTAATCCTAAACCTCTTCCCTCAACCCTAATGATGATTTGTATGTCTTCAGAGATAAACCAATGTTTCCCTAGCTTTTTTTATATATTGATTATTTATTTATTATGTGTTCAGATTGATTTAAGTGTTGCAAGGGTATGGAAACTTCGCTGTGATGAAGATAGCAATTTATGTCTACTTTTTTTTATATTCCTTTCTCGTTTTCTGTTGTGGCGCTCTTCTGCATCGTGTGGAGGAGCGAGTTGAAAACTGAAGGTAAATTAGTGTTATTAAAATTGCTGCCCAGAAATAATTGCGCAACTAAATGAGAATTTTAATGAAAATTCTTTGGTTTTGTTGCGCTATGCCTTTGCCACCTCTGTGTGTTATTATTATTTTTGCTTTTATTTGCATTAATTCCTTTGCTGTGTATTTATAAATGAAACTTGAGTCTGTACATTCTACTGGACATTCGTTGCTCTTTGACATTAGGTTGGCGCTCTTAGAAATTGTATTTAAAATACAATCTCGTTTCCACTAGTGACGTACGCGGAATTTATGTATTTATAATTTCTTTTGTGCCATGAATAAGAAACCGAACAAAACAAAGTAGCGAATATAAAAAGAACATTTAAAATTTGCAGTTTGCGCATAGGCAATTGAGTTATGTTGCCATTCAGTCACTCTGAAATGGTCCTTTGGCATGCCCGTTGGCATAATCCTTCAAAAAATCATTACGCTTATCGCAGCGCATTTAAATTGCTGTAGCTATAGATCAAGCTTATCAGCGCAGCAAAAATATTTTCCTGTATAAAATAAATTCCAGCAGTTTATTATTATAATTCGCATGCCGAATTCCAACAAACTGGAGGTCATATGCTTACCAACAGCGGCACCTGTACAAGCCACCGCCCATTGTAATGAGAAGACAGCCAACGCATAGCAAAAAAAAGAAAAAAAGCAGAAAAAAAAACAACAAACAAATATACATACAAACAAGAAAGGCAAAAGAGTGCCGAGAGAAAGCGTTAGCTGGCGAAAATCAAATCAAAAAGTTCACAAATATGCCAAAAGCAGCTATGGAAAGAACAACAAAAATGTATATATATATGTACAACTGTGCAACAAAAATTAAGTTATAAAATTTTAAGGGCCGTATGCGGTTTAATTTCCAAATGCCACGACAGGATCCCAGACACAGGTGGGCTGGCCAGCGTTAGGGGCGTGGCCGGTTTGAGAAATTTTTTGGTCTGAGCTGATTACCATAAATACAAGCGAACGTAAACTGAAGTCGTCGGGGTTGCCGCTGACGGAAACGGAAATCAAGAAAACAAAAAGAATGAGCTCAAATGAAGTCAAACTTGCTGGTCGCTCAGGCAATTAATAAAGTTAGTTGCGTTTGCTTTGACGGTTAAAATTGTGAGTTATAAGCCCGCAAAATTATGGCTTACAACAAAAGCAAACAATTAACATGACGAAGACACATAAAATGCCACTTTGCCCGGTTGTCCAACCATATTAAGTTGGCCATATTAACATTTTTGGTAAGCACCCCTCCCCCTCTGTGTGTGTGGGTGTTTTGTTGTCGAAATGTGAGTGAATCACGTGATGCGACGCAGTTTTCTAGTCTAGTTTTTGTCTACGCCTTGTGTCATTTGTTAATGTTTAATATAATTTGGTACTCTTTGTAGTCGTAGTCTTCTTGTCCACTCACACTTACTTACTCATTTAGCCAGGAACGCCATGGGCCTGGCTAACAGACCGACGGGGTTGTTAATCTGTGGTCAGTTTATAGTTAAGTTAACATGCTTAAACATCGCCCAGTTATTTTCGTGTAAATTACTTATTTTATGACTTGTTGTCCCTTGAGTTGTTCTCGTGTTAAAACTAGACAAAATAGCCGGCAGCACGACACGCCCATTCCATAAGTTTGCCAAGATGTTTGATGACTGTTGTATAAATGTTTTCTTTTAGCTTTATTATTAAGTCATAATTGAAGTGTGTCTGTGCTATGCAAAGTTGACTTTTATAGGGGTTTTTCCAGCTTTATAACCTGAATCACCATATCTCACGGCAGCGTCCACGACTGTCGGGCAAATAGCCGGGCTGACAGGGAAAATCAATCATGGCCACCTCCATAATTTTCTCGGTTGTTGCCCCATCCGACGTTGGTTGTTTCGTCCGGGTGGATTCGTAGTCGGCCAACACTTGGGTCTCATCGAGTTCCACACACTGATTTGGCTTGCCGCGAATCTTTTCGTTGTTGGGGCAATCGATGCGTTTCAGGCAGTATTTAACACAGGGCCGAGGTGCCGCAACGTTTGTCAGCTTCTTGCCGCATGAATAATGCGCAATGCAACCCGGATCCACATGTGGCAAGTTGTTGTTTATATAAAACGGTCGGCGTGCTTTCTCTGTGGTAGTTGTTGGTGTCGTCGATGTTGTCGCACCCCGATGGAGTATGTGGCTCAGTAAACCACCCTCTGCTGCACTGAGCCAAATGCCAGCACAGAGCGTCAATAGTATTAGCAAAAGTTTCATTTTTGTAATGCTTACGCTTAGAGCAGTCGAACTGGAATTGAGCTTGCCTCGGTCTCAGCTATTTTCAATTGATGATGTGTTATCAAATGAGCCGATAGCCTTTTAACCGCTCGACCAGACAAAAATAAAGTCAAACAAACATTCGATGAGCACTCTTTCTTTTTTTTGTCATACCCTGTTAGCTGAGTAGAAAATTCCGCTTCTTAAATGCAAATAATCTTTTTATCTTTATACAACGAAATAATCGGTTTAAAAGGTGGTTTATGAAAAATGATTAACAGCTGTCAAATTGAAAAGAACAGGGAAATCGATAATGTAGCCAGAGACTAAGTACCACAATATTCAAACAATGTACGGGGTATCTGCTCATGGAGTGACCAGATTAATATATTCTCTCATTGATTCTAATACTATTACGTCACATACTAGAATAATTTTCAAACGATTTGTATAACGCATTATATACAAATTACATATATAAATATATATTTCTTATCAGGTAATCAAGTTTAGTCGATTTACTACGAAAATTAGTTTGTCATCTTTATTTTATAATAATAATAATACATATTGTACTAACATTAATATATATCCGACAACTGCTAAGAGAATTTAAAACTTCGACATTGGAGTTCGTGTTTTGAACTATTTGATAGGGAAGTTGAAATTCCTATTGCTTTGCCAACCAATATATTTTATTTCATTTATATACCCAGTTAACAAAGCCAAAGTCCTTCAGATGGTGTGTTTATGTCGCTATCATAGAAGCGTTATAAGTGTGCGCTGAAGATGCTATTTCTGTTCGTGATGGTTGGAAGTTTGTTTATTGGCTTTATCAGATGCAGCAAAACTATTTGAATAATGGATATTAATCGTATAGGAGAGCTGTCAAAATTAATTTGCAATGCATTCGCAGAACAAGCACAAGAATATTGATGATGATTATGCGAACTAATGAATGTATCTGCCAGACGAAATGCGAGCAGATGAAAACAAAGGCGTCGAACTTGGCATTAATTCCACTCTGAGCAGACGAGTAATTGATGACAAGAGCGCTCATGCTGATGTTGATTCTGATGTTGATTTTGATGTTGTTGTTCTTATTATTATTGTTTTCAATGTGGTGCTCGGCAATAACTTACCGAGCGGTATTCCCCGAAGGCATCTGTCTAATATGTATTAACATTTATTGCTTTGCTTTGCAGATGCTGTGCGTTGAAAAACCAATGTGAAAGCACTAGCAGACCGGAAATTGCCAAACACTGATACTTCCGCCGGAAATAAGCTCAATTGTTGTTCCTCTTTATGGTGTGAGTCTAGGTAAACAACATTTTGTATATTCTGTATATCACGGTTCAAGTGTTTTACAAATATTTAAGAATAGTTCGGTGAAAATTCCATTAAAGAGTGTTATTTATTGCTTTGATCTCACATCATCTTTTATAACAATTTAAGAATAGTTAGTTAATAGGCCAAAAGGACTCTAGTCTAAATGCCATTAAAGAGTGTTATTTATTTACTTTGATCTCACATCGTGTTATCAGCAACGACACAATTCACATTCATATATTTGTACATGTGATAATAAATTATTTTCAATATACAATATACAGATCAGAATCTAAGTTAAAACTAGCTAACTTCGCAGCTAATAAAAGCGAATACAAAAAACTATAAAAATAATAAAAATAATTTAGTGACAAAACTATTCTTCTTTACAGATAAATACATTACAAAAGCGCTCTCCAATTATAGTGTAAACAAACAAGAAACCAACACCAGAAGATAATCAAATAAAAAATACAAATATAGAGAAATAAAATATTTTTGTTTTCGTAAATCGAAGTACGATTTTGCATATCTTGATGGAAAGGGGACTTCTACGCTCATCTATATTAGTAGAAATAAACTGATAAAGGGTATTTTCTAGTCGGGCACGCTCCACTCGCACGTTCCTCCTTGTTCAGTTTGTGACAAAGGATGTGTTAGAGTGCGAATAAGGATATGAATGAAGTGCCACATTTTCACGAGTTTGCTAACCCACAGTTTGATGCCGTTTTTTTTGTTGTTGAAGTCGTATTAGTTTTCTCTTTTCTCTTTTTCTCTATGTATCTCCTCCCTCCTGGCTGTGTCTGTAGTCTGTAGTTTCTCTAGACGTTTATCGTCTTTGCTTTTGTTGCGGCCTGGTTTGTTCTTGACGCTGTAAGTTCAATAAATAAAATTAGTGCTATAAACATTCGTTTGCCAATGGCTGTCGCGACGATGTGTGTTTCTTCTTTTATTTCTTGGCAGCTGCGAGAGCTTGTCCTTGAGTACACCGAAAAGAAACAATAAAAAATAAGTAAAAGCGGACCAAAGAAGAAGTGTTAGTTGAGAGCACGAGAGCGCTTATCTTTTATTTTACTCGTAAATCCGAATATATCGAATGCTTTGCAGTTGGTTTAAAAATCAGATAATAATTCGATTCGTAGTTGAAGAGTTATCTTTCTATCGTACTTGAAGTTAAGAAAAAACCCAACCCTTCAGTGCATAAAAGCGTAATATTCCATTCAATTTTTTTTTCGGTGTAAATACTATTTGCAAATCTTTGGCAATTGACAACTTTTTACAAGATTCTTATAGAATTTATTTTCATTGCCAACACAGAATTCTTATTCGAATTGCGTCGAATACTTTCTAAACCTGTTGGCAGGTGACTCGAGTTGGTTTGTGCATTCGCTCTATTTCACCGGATTTTCAGTTGCGATTATCTGAAAATGTTTTCAAATAAAATGCAGCTCTCAATTTTGGTTTTTATTATGGTACGTAATATGCAAAATTTATTTATAATTTCTCCATTAGAATTTAATACGCAATGTGTATCATGCAGAAACATGATTATAATTTGCAGTTCAGTGGCCACTAAATTGCAAAGCTAATTGCCAAAATAAATTACATAAAAATATCGATATACAAGTGTATTGGCGATAAACACATTAATAATTCGCATGCCATGCTTGAACACAAATGCAGCACGCCAGCATTTAAATCCATATTCGATTGTGGCCATATCCTTAAGTGGGTGGTCAGCTCTGTGTGTGGGCCCAAAACGTGTTCAACAGATTAGACCAGGAGAGAGTATCTGGTACCTGCAGTACACACTGCGTGTTGTATCTTGATTCACGTTTGCCACCAATTTAATTGCTGGCAAACACAGTCGCCCAAAACAATTTCGACGATTAGCGTCCGGAGTTGTTTCACATTGAATTCAAATGGAAAATGTTCATGTTCAGGCCGGGACGATAACAGCAATTATAAACTAGTAAACTATGACAGCTTAAATGGGCAATTATATTGCTATTTTTTTGTTGCTTGTGGTCCACAATACTGATTTGTTTACTGCATTTGCTATTTGCTGTATTTTATCAGCATCAGCATCAATTTTAATTTGAAATTTGTCACAAATGCACCGGCAATAAAATAATTTACTAAACAACTCTCAGGTTTGCAATTTTCAACGATAGTTTATTTAGTTTGTGCTTAAGCTAATTGCTAATTAATTTTCGTTTATCGAACGTAAGTTATTTGTTTAATTATTTGGCTAGTCATTAGGCTAAAAGGGGGGGTTGGTGTTTTGAGTGCCTCAGTTTCCGGATTCAGTGTGTGTAAAAATCAAAAGGAACTCGACTGCAAGCCACTCTGTAGTGGCGGGGAACGCCACTTGAGCTCAATTAAAACCGCACTTGTATTTGTATATGTATTTGTTTGTACAACAAACACACACACACACACTTGACCAGCCGAGCGAAAGGACGACCGCAGGATATCAACTCTTTCCTAGTCCTTTGGCTGCCTTTCATCAGCACCGCAATTGCCAGTGAAAAGGAAGTGGGTGTGCAGAGCTTTCAGTGCTGGTCATTGTTTAACAATTAACCGCAAATTGAATGCAATTAAATAAATAACGGTATTGAACCTTTATGTAAACGCTTGTAGGCGTCTCGTTGTAACTTTACCTTTGTTATGCCAATACCAATCGTAAAGTAAACATACGCACTCCTCCCATTCGCACCCAACTGTGTTGTACAAATGAAATGAAATATTACGTATACGTCACATTGGTCCATTTGCCAGCTCTCTCACACACACACACACACACACACTCACACACATACATGATCAACAATGGCTCCTCGGCACAGTTGAGCCGACTACCGACTGCCAACTGCTGTTGGTTGAGTATTTGTTTAAGGTATTGTTGTTATTGTCGCTCAACTAAAGGCAACTGGAAACTGGCAACCGGCAGTCGGCAACTGGCCACTGGCAGCTGCAGTAGAGAAACGCAATTTATTTAACTTTTTGGTACCAACAACTCAACTAGCAGTCGCACAACAATGGGGCCACGTGCCAATTATTAACAGCTCCAAATGGCTATAAAGTCCTTATCCCATTGTAATTGCTAAGCGTTTTATTGCGTTCTAAAGGATTGTGAAAATACTGCCACACTCTCCATTTGGATTGCATTATGCAACTAAAAAATAAATCTGGAAGACCATGTAATATATATATATAAATATATAAAATTCCTTTTTTTAGTTGACCGAAAATATGTTCTTACTTCTGAAATACATATATATAAAATATGGCTTTGTTTAACTTTTCAGTGAAACTTTAAGCTTTTAACTTGAAGCATTAAATATACAAAAATAAACAAAGATATTTTTAAATTATAAATGAGGTCATCAAACAATATACAGTATTTATTTAAGTTTTGGAAAGCTTACATTTAAAAACTGTTTGATTTATACTAAAAGGCACTCCATGTTGTTGTTGCATTGTTGGGACAAAGTCGCAACAATTACACTTACCCATTGTAATTTTTAAGTGTTTTCCATAATGAGAGATGGTTGGATTGCCACCCACTCCATTTCGATGAATAGCAAACTTTATTTGTTTGTCAACTGACGAGCTACTTGGATTTCTTTCTTCAATTAAAGTGTTTTTGTTTTTGTTTTGGCCAAATAATATCAAACATATATATAACAGAGTTGTAGTCT